AAACAAACAAACAATCCAATTTTTAAAAATGGGCAAAGGACCTGAATAGACACTTCTTCAAAGAGGACATACAGATGACCAATACATATATGAAAAGATGCTCAATGTCACTGATCATCAGAGAAATACAAATACAAATAAAAGCCACAGTGAGTATCATCTCACACCTGTCAGAATGGCTACCATCAATAAACCTACAAACGGCAAGTGCTGGCGAGGATGTGAGAAAAGGGAGCCCTGGTGCACTGTTGGGAGGAATGCAGATTGGTGCAGCCACTATAGAAAGCAGTATGGAGTTACCTCAAAAAGTTAAAAATGGTACTGCCTTATGATCCAGAGATTCCACTTCTGGGAATTTATCTAAAGAAACCCAAAACACTAATTTGAAAGATTATATGCACCCTCTTATTCATTGCAGCTTTACTTACAATAGCCAAGATCTGGAAACAGCCCAAGTGCCCATCAGTAGCTGAGTGGATAAAATAGCTGTGGTACATTTACACAATGAAATACTACTCAGTTGTTAAAAAAAAAAAAAGGGGGGGGGGTGGTAGAAATCTTATCTTTTACAGTAGCATGGATGGTCCTGGAGAGCATTATGCTAAGTGAAATAAGCCAGTCAGAGAAAGACAAGTATCATGTGATTTCACTTACATGTGAAATCTAATTAATAAAATGAACTAACAAGCAAAATAGAGACTGGTGGTATTGGGGATGGATGGGGAATAGAGCAAAAAAGGGGAAAAAATCAAGACAACAGTATGATGATTGCCATGGGGAGGAAGAGGAAGGTGGAAAAGGTTATGGGGAGATAATGTGATGGACACAGACTTGACTGGGGATGGTACACACACAATACAGTGCACAGATGATGTGTTATAGAACTGTGCACCTGAAACCTGTATAGTTAACCATTGTCACTCCAATATATTCATTTAAAACTTATATTAAAATAAAAAGGAATTAGAGTCCAGGTTATCAAACTTTATTTTATTTTATTCCACCCAATCAAAGTCCCAAGGGAATCTCTTCATTTATAACTTCTCAAATTAATACATAAACCTGGGCTCTATATAATAGCTGAAGCTTGCTATTACCATTTCTATGCAACATCAACCAGGAGGATAAAAACCAAGCAGTCCAAGCACATAAACTCTAAGATTACACCCCAGATATTAAACACTGAGAAAGTCTCTAGATTCTCCAGTTAATCCTGCTTTGTCATCATTTACTCAAGCTGACTCGTCCTGGAAAACCTACCACCTCATCTATCATGGCTTCCGCTCACCTTTTCCTCCCAAGGCTGTTTCCCCCATTACTCTTTCTGACAGCGGGAAAATGGAGAGATGCTTGTGCCCCAGCCTAAAATATAGCCTGCGGAGGAGAGCTGGAGTGTAAGCACTCACTCTTTTAAAGAAGAAAGGAAGGAAAGGAACAGCTGAGCTCACACCTCGGAGAGAGAGTACAACCAACCCCAAAATATCTTGTTCAAAGAATAGAACAAGATACTCCAGGCATCTGTCTGGCCCAGAGACAGAAATCTCTCAAAACTATGTTTAAAATGTCCCAGAAAAAAAGCAAAGAAAACAAAGCCTAATGAACGAGTCCAAAATGATAATTATAGTCGATTCAATGAACATCCATAACTCGTAGTTAAGGTAACATTGATATGTTGTCACGTTCATATTTTGTTAAAAAAAAATGGACGGGAAATGAAACCTGTCAGCAGAAAACCTAAATAATGCATACGTCTAGGGCTTTTGGCATTCAGGAAGCCCAAGGGTTAATGCCCTTATGAATTTTTTACATGTGGTAATGTCCATTTTAATTGCCGGTAATCTGAGGCCATAAACTTTTGTGTGCTTTCTTGTTCATGGCACCTGCAGCACCAACACGTATCTATTGCGCGCTTGCCGTGGGCCGGGTTCGGCTGTGAGCACCGCAGAGCAGGCAGCAGCGAAGGTGACGGATGAGGCCCTGTCCTCACGGAGCCTCTGCGCTGTCACAGCGAAGAATGATGAATACGGTTGGACCAGAAAACAAGCCATGACTAATTCTCCTGGACAAAGACTCCTGCCGGAGAAGGCAGAAGCTTTCTTGCTGTATTGCAATTTTACAGATTCCTGGACCTTTTCCAGCGGGAGAAACTCACTGGTGGGTGTTTGGAGGTTTGGGAGGCTTCGGAGGGACAGGGTGAGCGATAAAAGGGCAAATCTCACCAAGTCAGGGAAGAGCAAATGTTCTGACTCTGAATCCTGCCCACCCAGGAAGCAGCAATTCCTCATATAGAAGAGCAGGGTTCATGTTACAAGTTTCTAGAAAGTTCTGCTAGTTTCAGAAGTAAAATGGGAAGTAAACAAAAGTTGTCTTTGCTGTTCTCTGCCATCTCCCTCATTCACTGTGTCTTCTTATAGCCTCTCCTTTTTTCTGCCTTTTTCTATTTTGAGATGTTTTTTAATTTTTAAAAATTAACCTTTTAACTTAATAGATGCACATAGTATAAAACCAAGCACAGTTTAACTTCACTCACTTTATCCCTTCTATCTTAGCCCTATTGGTCTCTTCCCTCTTTCTCCATCACTCTGTGGTCCATGACTTCCCACCATCCTCCTTTTTCTGGCCACTTCCTCCCAATTTCCCTTCTATCTTTTCAGTAGGCATTGAAAAAAAGGATCAGTAGGTATAGGAAGAGATGGAGTCTAATAAGACAAGGGATTGACAGTATGTTATCTGCTCAGGGAAGCCCATTTTATAAGGATTTGGCCCTTTGAGCTTAAAATCTGCTTCGTGTGAATAAATTTCACTAGAACTAGAGTTGCTAGACATAACACTTAAAAAATTGAGTAGTCAAGTTTCATACATTTTCTTAGCTGTCTGAACAGAATCTTACAAAAATCCTTTCGTGGTTTCGTATATACTGCACAATATGCGTGAGAGAAAGAGAGAACTCGGTGGCATTTTCAAATGTTTCTTTAAGCCCTGGGTCTGGCCTCTCCTAAAATTGCTTTCTTTCCACACGCCTAGAACTCCACTTTACTACCCCCAGCCTGGCTTCCTGCAGGGATACTGGGAATGAGACCATGGAAAAGCCCAGGTTTGGAGTCAGACTGGTTTACCCTGGAAGACCAGCTTCGTGTGTTATTAGCCCAATGATCTCAGGCAAATAACTTAACACTTTTAACAGTTTTCTCATCTGCAAAATGGTGTTCATAAAACCAAGCCCTTTATAATGACATACGTATTTAATTGTCTAACCCGTAAGTGTATTCATCACACTATGTGGCAGATAGCTGCCATTTACAAAGAGCATAATTAACATATACATACTAGTAAGTATACATATATAAATTATATATACATACTAGTAAGCATACGTATACATATATACATATATATATATGCACACACACACCTAAACACACACCCCATGTGCCCATATTATTCTCACATACACATGCAATTTACCTGTCTGTCCTCAATGCCATTGTCCCCCAGAGGTCTGTCCTTGAAGCATTCCCATTTTTCCAAAGTGACAATTAGCTAATGTAAGAGTCTAATCACTAAGAATGTGCTAATGGGAAAGAATAAGAGGAGGGAACTGTGACTACTGCCTGCCAACTCAGATGCTCCTCGGAGGTAAAATATGGCTCTTGGACACTAAACTGTACTCAGAGTTGCATGGGCCAGAGCAGTGACTCGTGGTGGGAATTCCAAACAGAAGAATCTGGAAGCTCGCTGTAGTAGCTCTGAGTAACTGTGGCTGCTTCTGCGTGTGCTAATACCTAGGCCCTCACTGATTTAAAAATAGGTTTAAAAAAATCATAAATGGATAGTGTGTCCTTTTTCATATAAGTTTATTGCATTTGCCCCAGAACTTTCTACAAAACAAATACAGCTCCTAGGAAAATAGGGCCTCAGGAAGGTTAAAGGCTCATGTAAGGTCTGAGGTAAAGCAAAACCTAAAACACAATTCTCTTTTCAAATCTGTATTTCCTGACCATACTGTGTTGGCTTGATGAGGTGTGACTCCACATAGGAAGACCCGCTTTGAAAACCCCCATCCCACAGATCCAAAATCTGTGAAATTGGCAATGGCCAGAGAGTCGCACCTTTTGCCACACTAACAGGAAAGACTCTTAAGTAATGGACTTGGTGCCTGGCCATCCGAGTCAGCCACTTAGTCATTTTTCTAGACGCCATCCATCACTGAGCACATTCCCAAACTTCATGCAACCTCGTTTAAACATCTAACCGGCAGTTCTGATGGGAATAAACGTTTTTTGTCAAAGTAAAAGCTTGACAACCCTGACACCTAGTGGCTGTGAAGAAACCGATGAAGACCCAGCTTGGGAAAGGTACATACACACACAGGATTTATTTGTAATATTAAATTAATACTAATTCTGAAAGCCGCCCAGTTCTATTTGGGCTCGGAATTTCTCTTGGAACCTGTACGAGGAGGCAAAAAAGACTTGCATTTGTAAAGCATATTTTCCTTCAACCTTATACATTTAGAAAACTTACTAAATCTTCAGAGATCAAATAAGAAAAGCCAAGGTTGATTCATAGTTTGGCATATCTATGACCTTTTTTCCTTAATATTGAATGACAACCACATCCTTTACCTGGTCTTCGGGGGGATTTTTTTCAAGCATCCCCCTGTCAATATAAAAGCCACCTGCTCAAACATTCACAGAGGTTCCCTTTATGCCGATGAAGAAGTCTTACTTGAAAGGAAGTTGTACCTTTACAGACCAGCAGGTTTCTTTAAGAGAAGTAAAAGGACACATGTGGAAACCTCTAGAGCACACATCTAAAAGCAAGACCCCACCCCCAGAGAACGCCGCAGGAAGTCATATGAAGAGACCCATCAACACAGCATAGCGCAGCCTATTTCTGCCCATCACATTAGAAGGCAAGTGGCCAGGCCACCTAAACGGACAGGCGTGACAGCAAAAAGCCTATATTCATCGCCTCCACAGGGAGAGGCCCACTCCTACCTGCTGGCGCTTGAAGGCTAAATAATCCAAGTTTTCCAGCTCCTTCCCGAGCTTCTGATAGGTTTTCTGGAGGTCCGATTTGTTGGAAACGTTTTTGAGAGATTCAAATGTCCTCTGAAACTGAAATGAAAAACAACAGCAAATACTTAGTACAGCAGCCTTATTTTTCCTCATATTTCTAACTAGCTTACACAGAGAAAAGTTGAAACGGATAAAACAAATACAAACTTTCAATAAAATAATTAAAAATGATTACGAAGAAGAAACTGCACACCAATGTTACTGCATAAATAAAAGTCCCTTTAGTCCTCATTTCAACGAAAGAATATACTGAATTAAAAAAAAAAAAAACTCTTCATGTCTTAGCATACACTACTTTTAAAGAAAAAATGTACAATGAATGTATGTATAATTTCAAATCAGAATGAGAAAGTGTTAAAAGAGCTCTCACATTCCAACCATGGAAACAATTTATGTGAAAACAGCTGCTTGTCTCTATAGAAATGTCTATGCAGTTTAGGTACCCAGCGAGTTTTAGCCAGAAAGCGCTCTCAGATCTCATTTTTTGAGAAGGTGAGAAAACTAACGTTTTGATGACTGAATCATATGCAGCGTGTTCAGCAAACATTTATTCCTTCCTGCTTTATATAACACAGGAGAATTATGAAATCAGTTCTGCTGAATCAGCATGCTTCAGTTCATGGCTTTAAAAAATAGTTTTGATTTTGAGAGAGAGAGAGAGAAAGGGAGAGGGAAAAAGAGAAGCCTAGATAAATTGCCTCTTCCACCCACCCCAACTGGGGAAATCGAACCCACAACCCGGGCTTGTACCCTGACCAGGAATCAAACTGGCAACCGTTTGGTGTATGGGATGATGCCCAACCAACTGAGCCACATCGGCCTGGGCTTCTGTTCATTTCTAAGTCAGATACTAGATAAAGATAAAGCAGACAAATTGCAGTGAATCACAGAATGCTGTTCTGCTACGAATAATTAATTAAGCAAAGGGAGCTCACAACAAATTGAATTCCTGGTTTATTTTAGTAAATTAGAGCTTACTTTGGAGGATTAGTGATTGAAAATGTCAAGTAATGTCATTTGCAAGATATTTGCATTTCCTCTCGCTTTATGTCTTTTGTTTTCCTTATGTTCACTGTGTACCATTAGATAGATTTCTACAGATAGACTTCACCATCTTAAACACACCAGAACTCTACTGTGGCTATGATGGTATAGGATTTTACAGAATATGATTTAGTTTCCAGGAAAATGATTTAACCCTTACTATTTCAGACTACATGGAATAAGTCATATTATAATGGTATTCTGTTGAATTAAATCCTCAGTTTCACAAAAGCAATGTGTTTATCTCAAACCAAGATGGCAGAGGAAAAAGAAATAAAAAATAACAGTACTAAGCTTCCACAGCAGGCTGGTAAATTATATACAACAATGCAATATTTTAGACCCTACTGTACACAAGGCACTGTGAATATAAAACACGTTGCCTGCACTAAATGAACTTACAGACTGCCAGAGAGCTAGGCATGAAACTCAAAAATAGGAAGGACTCTGACATTTGAGTACCTGTTCAGGTCCAGGTACTACTTCATGCTTTTCAATGTAACTCTCACAGGAACCACAGAAATCCCTAGGTCCCTTCCCCATTTCACCAGTGAGTCAACTGGACTCCTAGTTTGGACTGGGTTTTGACCACAATGCTGTGCTCTTTCTACTTTATCATTACCTCAGATACAAGGCATAGTCAGTGAAGAGAATGCAAAAGGAGATAAAAGTAACATGTGCTGAAACAGAAAAGACTCCCTGATATGAGACCCGGGCCACCTAAGAGACATGAAGGAAACTGAACTGGGCCTCAAATCACAGGAAGAATTTTAAGAGCTTAAATGGGAACTAGTTCCACCCATCAGTTCAAACGCAGCCAGAGTCTGCTCATTTTCCCATTTCGTGGCAGAGTAAACAAATTTCTTTAATATAATTTTAATAGCCATTATATTCGCTGTTTATTATGTGATTGTTTCTGTGCCTTGCTATTCCTTGGTCTATTCTATGTTCAAATCAAAATAATACCAGGACTAAATTTTTAAACAATTTATTTTATCTATAAGTAATACAAACTATTTTGCCAATCAATTTGTTCCCTGAGAAATATTACTCTACTTCTTAAATATTTCTTCCTCACATCTATGTGAACTTTTACACAACTCCAAATAGAAATTTCCGGATTAATACATTAGTAAGGCTTCAAAATAAGAATCATGAAAACCAATAATTCCAGATAACCTATCCACAGCCAAAGAAGTAGAGAGAAAATCCAGTAAGGATGCATAACCACAAAATGTTTTCATTAAAGGTCAGAGTCTGCATAATGTAAAGATTTTAACTCGAACTTTCATTATCAGGACATACAGCCTCCATTGATTGATACTAAATCGCCCAGAATACTCTAACTGTGATGATTCATTCATTTAAGCAGATTTTTTTTCATTTACAAAAACAAATGATTATCAAGGAGATGTCATAAAATCTGTATAGTAGTCTTGTGTTAGATCCCATTAAAACACATTCCATCAATATCTGCCCACATATACACTTAAAGATGAAAAAGGGTAAAAGCACTAATTTTACCTTATAGATAAAGCATTAGTAAAAAAATTAAATTAAATTAAATTTTAAAATTAAAAAAAGATAAAAATAAGGCAATGCTTATGGTGAGGTTCAAATTTTACTTTAAGACATTTGACATTGTCTCAATTTGAAGATTTTTCATTCCAATAGGCCACTGTGCTTGACCATTAAAAGAGACCTCTTGAGATTTTCTACATTAATTCAGTCTATTGTAATTTCATTATATTGACTATTTTTTAAACAATCTCTCAGTTTAAGCTGGCGGGGGGGAGAGGGGGGAGGAGGCATTCAATGAATTAAAGAGATTTTAATATTCCTGGATTGTACTTGTTCAAAGTTTTGGGTGGTAATTTAAAATAATTCAAGAACCCCAAAATAATTTGTTGAATGTTGATATTTTTAACTCATTACAGACAAAATGTAAACCTAAAAAAAAAAAAAAAAAAAAAAAAAAAAAAAAAAAAAAAAAAGCCCTGTGAATAAATCTGAACCCAATACAAACATAGGTGTATTCTAAAATATCAAAACTGAATATTAAGATGGTATTTTCTTAAAGGGCTCCACACAGACTCACCCACCCTGTGACCAGTGCTAAAGCAGCCCTTTGAAATGTGCCCCAAATTTACATGAAAAAGGCTCATTTGTTTATAACATTGCTCTGCGGCAGGCTTGGATAATCTTCAGGCACAGAGGCTGGTGGGCACCATCTTTCTGCTCTCTACTTCCTAAACCTACCAGGTGCCATTTTTCCCTTTTTCTTTTTTTTCTTCTCTTTTTAGAGGTTGCCATCTTTACACTCCCCTTCTGCCTTGCTCCAGCCAGTGGTCACTATCTACACTCTCCCTCGAACAGGCTCCAGAGCACCAGTCTCTCACAAAGAGCAGCATCTACACATGTGTGGTGCCCTGGGTTTCACATCTGTGGCCCAGTTTCCGTGGTGGCCACCCAGGGGTGCCCCAAGATCCCCTAGCTTGGAGGAAAGGGAGGCTTATGTTCCCGGGTCCCATGGGACTGTAACAACTAGAAAGACAGTTCTGACAGTTCTTGCCCAGTCCAGTGGCTCAGTGAGTTGCAGCAGCATCCCGTACACCAAAAGGTTGTGGGTTAATCCAATTCAGGGCACAAACCTAGGTTGTAGGTTCGATCCCCAGTCAGGGAGTGGACAGGAGGCAACCAATTGATGTTTCTTTCTCTCTCTCTCTCTCTCTCTCTCTCTCTCTCTCTCTCTCTCTCTCTCTCTCTCTCCCTCTCCCTCCCCCACTCCCTCTCTCTCTCTCCCTTCCTCTATCTCTAAAGTTAATGAAAACATATCCTCATGTGAGGATTTTTAAAAATTAAAGTTAAAAGAGCAGGAAACTGGTTTGGCTCAGTGGTAGAGCGTAGGTCTGCAGACTGAAAGGTCCCGGGTTCGATTCCAGTCAAGGGCATGTACGTTGGTTCTGGGCACATCCCCGGTTGAGGGTGAGCAGGAGGTGGCTGGTTGATGTTTCTCTCTCATCGACGTTTCTGGCTCTCTATCTCTCTCCCTTCCTCTCTGTAAAAAATCAATAAAATATATTTTTTTAAATTAAAGTTAAAAGAGAAATGTACTAAAACTAAAATGTGTTTTTAAAAAAATACACAATATGACTAGATATAAATTGTGACGACAACATGGCCTATGTGTCAAGAGAATTAAAATACCCATAGAGCTACACAAAGGGAATAAGAAAGAAATGAAAGTATATCACAACAAACATAATCTTGTTTCATTTGCTCTCCTGGGCTCCAAATATATTTTCAGTATCTCCTATCTTTCATATGTGCCTCAAGTTCAGTGTGTCTACTGGTAAAGCTCATAAATTGATTCTCTGTGTGCAGAAAACCAACGTCAATGCCCAACCAACTTTCTAGAAGGCTGCTTACTACTTCCCTTTCCCTCTGAACAGATTCCAATCCCTTTCCAAACGGTACCCTGTTCCTCCTCCGTCTCTCTCATTCGTCCCTCACCCTACCCCATCATTTCACAACCAAATGAATGCATCAGCCTCATTACTGGCCTCTCTACCTCCAATCTGGCCCCCTTGCCAACCGGTGACAGAGTAATGGACCTGAAATATAAACTTACTTATATGATTTTCCTGCTTAAAATTCTTTCGTGGTTCCCACCCTCGTTTCGGACCATAGTTCAAACTTTTAAACTTAGCACCGAGCCTTTCACAAGTAGACCCATGCCCACTCTCTTCAACTTCAATGCTTATTCCTCCCATACAATCGTCCTTCACTTCAGCCGCTCATAAGGATTAGTGGTCTTCAAGAATATACATTCCCTCCCTCTCTTCCTTCACTACCTCCCTTGTCTAGTTCTCTCTCCAAGCATTATTCACTCAAGACACTCTCCCTTGATGTAGCTGCCATCATACCTCCTTAGCACCTTACACCAGCCTCTGTCATAATAAATGATATTGTTGATTTATTTCTTAGTCTATAAA